GTTGCCTATCTCCCCGTCAATCTTACCGTCCGAGGAGATGATGCTACCTAGGTAATTAAGCTGCTGGACTGATTTGAGCTCTGATTCGCCAATGGTGATATGGGGATGATGGAAGACTTTCTGAGGTGCAGGTTGATAGAGAACTTCAAGAGAAGAAGCTACACACTATTGTCAGGAGACACTTTTAATATGGGAGGAAGTAAGGATCTTGGCAAAAGTTTAAAATTTTAAAGGGGGTAATATACAACCAAGGTAGAGTATTCTACAAAGCATCAATCCAACACGCACCAGCTCGTACAACTTGGCAGAATCCAATCCACTGGTTTTAAGTTACCCAAAAGAGATTAAGAAAAGAGTTAAGAAAGAGATTAAGTGAAGAAACAGAAGTAAAGAAAGAGAAGAAGAGAGGGGAATAAGAGAAAACTAGATTAAATAGCTACCACCAAAGAGTCCTATGGTGGTCTGGCTCCACAGGGCGCTGGCAGGTCCCAAGAGAAAAGGCAAGATGGAGCTTATGTGCTCCTGTATTTGTGTGTTTTAGCCACTATGTCCTCTCCTCCCAGGTGGGACGGCTGGCTCACTGACTACTCAGTGCCTCCAAGCCAGAGTGAGGGGTGGTGTAAGCAATCAGAGGCTGGATTAGGAGTTCCAGGGGGTGTGGACAGGCTCCCAGGCTGCTCTTTTGACTGACAGCTGCTCCATATGTGTTCCGGGGCTGCCCTTCCTCAAACACACACAAGTTGGTTCCAACTCAATAATACTTTATTGATCCAGTGTTTCACATACGTTGGTGCTGTTTCCCAGCTACCAGCCTGTTAAACCACTGACTGGTCTGCCAGGTTCAACTGAGGCTGCAGCTGGTCCCTGACAAGCAGGAGGAGCTGATGCTCCTCACGCTTTCACTAGCCTCTGGAGAAGGAAGAGCAGTGAGCAAGGGAGTGCAGATTTTTTTGTTTTGTCTTTCAGAATTTGGCAGAGTTTGAAAAGTTAGAGAATAATGTGAAAGAGATGGATGAGCAAGGGTACTCATAACTTAACCCACCAGAAGCTGGGAATACCACAAAATAAGCTCATTTCTTTTCCTTTGGGAAGGGACAGGCTCTGCCAGAGCCCAGCCCGGTACTCCTCTGCCTGCTTTTCAGGCTGATATTTGCCTTTGAGCAGAGATCTTGCTTTGGGTGTCCCAGATCCCATTTGTAACATTTTGGGATCAAGAATGTACCTTCTTTTTTTCCTTGCCCCTTAACCTGAGTTGTCCCATACTGTGCTTTTACTTGCTCAAAGGATGCTCTGCCTACTGCAAAAGAGCAAGTTAAATTTAGTGTAAGTTGGATTGTAAATTCTCAAATGGAGACAATGCCCCTTGGGTGTTTATTGTAGAAGTCAATTCTCTGGTCCGTCCTTACAATTGACCATACTTACTTTACTTTGCAGTAAGACTAAATTGTTTTGTGTCAATTTGTTTTTATAGCAAGCCAGTTGTGTATATGAACTGTTCTACAGTAGAAACTATTTTCCAGTGAATATGATGGAATGGTATTTCTGCAACGACTTTCATTATTCACTTTACTTTCCAAATGGCTCTGTAGCAATACAAGATTTTTTTCTTCTTGATATTCCTCTCCTTAATGATGACAGGAGGTATCCATGTCACAGACTAACTAATTGATAAAAAGACATTACATAAAGAATTTTTAAGGTTGTCATTTTATGTTTTAAAAAGAAACATTTTCTTTAACTCAACCTACTTGTGGAAGAGTATATAAAATACTTTAGCTAACAGATTTTTGTCCAACTCTGAATATTAAACTTAAATAATTAGAAATCTTTGGTAACTGAAGACAAGTCCATTACAAGTCAATACAATGTACAAACATGTTTTTATGCAAAATGATAAAAAAAACCCAAACCATAAACAAAAGTCCTGTTAACCACCATCAACAAAATTAATGTTCTCACAGGGTTTGTACTAGGGACAGTTCTTGGTCTGAGCTAGGGTTTAGCTGCCCTCTTGTTCAAATGTCCTCAGGCTCAGAAGTCTGGGGGGTCTGCAGAAGAGCTCAAGCATGTTGCCAAATCCTAGCTTGCTTTGCTGGACCAATACCAAGCTGTGTTATGTCAGTTTTATACTTACTGATTTTGAACCTCTTGGCTGTAAGCAGGGTTGAAAGATGATCCAGGTCTGGATTTGAGGCAGAATGATTAGGAGACTCGTGCCAGCCCTGGGGAAGAAATCCAGGTGGAAAGTGAGGCTGGGAAGAGGTGTCCCTCCTTAGAGAGATGGGAGGATGGGGCTCACCACTAGAGGCTTGGTTCATTTGAATCTGCTAGCAGTGGGATTGGTTGCCGAAAAGAGTGACTGCTGTCTGAGTTGCACAGGCACGTGGTCCTGAGACATCTCTGGGGCCTCATCGTGTGGTGATTTAGGGCACACAAACGTTACATGCTAGAACTCCGGAGGCCTAAAAGGGAAAGTAAATTTCTAATCCAAGGAGTATGTTTTAAAAATGCAAAAGCACTTTGGAGGAACCATTATTTTCTGAGTAGTTCCTCTGTTGCAAACACAATGCCCATGTAGGAATGTTTATTTATGAATTCCAGAAAATTAATAGATACATCACTTGAATCAAGGAACTTCACAGAAAACACTGCTTATTTCCTCCATTCACAAAGAGGAAAGTTTCCAACAGTAATGTATCAGCTAATCATAGCAATCTGTGACGTGTAGCTTTCTTGATAACCTTGCAGCAAAAAAAGTAAATTTTTTAATAATTGAAAATTAACATCTTACAACCCCCCTGGAAATCAAAGGGAAAAAGGTCACAAGTCTAGGTCTAGGTGCTAATGCAAGGACTGATAGGTTTTCCAAGGAAGCAAGATAATTAGGATAACTGGCCATTGAAATCTTTTGAGATTTACCCTGCTATACACTGATATACTGCTGTAAAATAAGAAAGTAAAAATAAGAGTCATGAAATTTTCTGGGGAAACTACATGGCAGGTAGGGATGCCAACATCTGAAAGTGCATGAATTAAATTAATGTATCAAACAGAGTCTTAGCACTTTAGCACATGTACTTAGGTACAGGGATTTTATTTGGGGAGAAAATGCAGTTTGGATAGCAACCGAGATGGTATATTTCAAAGACATTTGAGATAACCCACTGCTTATTTCTTATGATTTGAGGCATTTCCCCTTCTTCAACGAAGTGTTGTCTATCAAACTCGTAAGCATATGAATTTCTTTGACTACTGTTCAATATGCCTGTTCATAACTCAGCCTCTTATTCCATTATAATGCTTGAATGATTCACATGCAATATTTCCAATCCACTTTTCCTATCTTGTGAAACTTTTTAACGAAATGTTAGCATTTGCAGGCACCAGATGTTTTGACATAAGGAGAAGCAATATGTAAATTTTAATCCATGCTAGGAACAATAGCCTGGAGGCACCTTTTTCTTATTACATGAATCATATACTTAACCACAATGTGGTGGATTATATCAAAATCATCACCGCCCTGAATATAAAACACTTGTCTTGTGGTTGCCAATTAATGAAACTGATATATATTTAACTTGATGGGTACCAGTGATTTAACCAATAAGCCTTAGCATACTTCACTACTGCAATCTCCTTTATAATTAGACCTTTGATCTGATTATTATCACAACTTCATATATTTTTCTCTAATCTCCCACTGGTTGTCAGCACAAATGATGCTGACGTTAAATCTGTTTGTCTGTCAATTGCAAACATCACCACTTTTAATCAAGCAGTGTATCAAAAAGGCTTTTCTAATCTCTGAAATAACTTCTGATTTTATTTCCTGATGCTGTTTATTTAATCATTAACTGTCTGAGTCTGCAACAGGCTGAGCACTGCCTTTCTACAAAGGAAACGGAGGGCTCTCAGTCCATCACAAAGGAACTGAGTATCTTTTATGGTCAAATCCTAAGTTCATAAAAAATATGCAAAAGAACAAAGCTTCTTTACATAGCTAATCACTGAACTTTAAATAATATTTAAAATAATATTCAATTTTAGTACTGATGCGGGTGTCTTAATGATTTGTCAAAATAAAGAGCCTGGAAAAATCTTTATTACAAATAGAATGTTTATCTGATGTATACAAATAATGAGCACTATTTTATAAGAAACAATGAACTATTACAAAACTATAGATTAAATGCATAATATTACTCAACAAACTTGACAACTTTTCATGCACAGAAAGCACCAAATATCTTCCAAAGAAAGCAGCACTCTTGATATTAGGAATTCAAAATGAAATCAGAATCCTTACTTCATTAAGGAAAAGTATTTTTTAGTGCCAAATGCTACCTAATTATCAGCTTTTAAAATGCTTTATATCTTAAAATACAATATTCTGTTTATTCTAGATTGTCTGGGGAACATCTAGTACATTAAAAGGTTTTTGTAGAGCTTCTTAGTGATTTAACTGATATCATCATGCCTGCTAGCAATTTTGCAACATTCTGAAAACACTTTCCATAAATCAAAGCCTTAGCAGCAGGAATAAGCAGATGGCAGGAGACCATATTAAAGAATGTATCAATTATTTTTATTAATGGGATGCTACTGGATCATGATCTATCATAATGGTCTAAATGTTTAACAGTTGTGAAGTGTTTTGTCTGTTAGATATCTTAGATGTTCTTAGTGGATGTTACTATAATGTCTTGTGGCAGCATTTTTGAGGGTCTGGACAGTGAAGTTTCATAAGGGCCATATAAAGAGATGTTTTAATTTCAGTCCTTTAATTATATTCATATAATAAACATAAAATACCAGCATATATAAAACATAACTGTAAAAAGATTGCATGTACAGTGTGTAATAAAGTACATTCTGTCTGCATAAAATGACTTGGAAAACAAGATACTATATGGTTAACAATGAAAAATGGCAATTATAAAAATATTCTACAGTCTCATAATACTAATGTAAATGCTTTTACTTATATGAGAGACAACATAATTTTAAATTACAATAATTTTACATCCTCCATTTATATATACAATCCTATTAAATTCAAAAGGTATTATAATAGCAATGGTCATATTAAGTGAAGGAACTATAGTTATTTTACTATATAGAGCAACTGTGTTCCTGTTTGTTAAAACTGTTTGCACTTACTGTAGCTTTTTACAGAATCCACGCTATGCACAATGAAATAGTTTAGTTTTCTGTTCTTAGTATAGCTCTATATGCATCTCACAAATTAAACAAGATGTTAATATTGTGAGTCCCTTTCCTTTTTTGTAATTATCAGTCTGTTGTTTTGTGTATTTTGTAGGAACATGTCCACCAGCTTTGAATAGCTGCTACTGAAAACAAAAGCAAGAACTTCTCATTTAATACATCTTGACAAAAATATCCAGTTTTCCTACCCCCTGCCCAGCTGGAGGTCAAGCTCTGTAAGACTTTAAATTCTTTTCTAGTCCCAGAGCCACAGACATTATGCATGTCTTTCACGAGATTTCACTGAATAGATCTCTGTAGGAAATAGCCAAAGAGTGTATTTCACTTGCACCGTGTTTCAGCCCAATAATACTTGCATGGACAGCAAAGAAATTCTGCCTGATCAAGAATGTCAAGATTTGTCCCGGTAGTCATGAAATCCCTTTCCTCTGTGGAAGCTATTAGGAATGTACTCAGCTCTGCCATAGCAGTCCTCTCAGCTTCACAGTAGCATCACTGAACCTGCAATGGGAGAGGGAGGGCTTACTCTAAAAAGTCTGGGATGTGGCTGCCAGCACACACATCTCCTAAATACCTTCAGTGGCACCTATTAATCCCCAGAATGTCCTAGATTAGTTTTGCACCCTGTACCACCACTTAATTTCAAAGGTGAAGCTGTAAGCCAGTCCATAGCCATTAGCTAACACGCTAATTATGATGACTTTCTACTAGAAAAAATGCAGTGTTGGTGAAACACCATTGCCATAATAAATACCTGCAGGTATTGATGCATTTTGTGTTTAAAACAAGGGGGCTGGGGATTTTGTGTGAAGAAAGACAGCTTGAATATGTTTGAGGATACATGAAATACAGTATATTGCAAAAAGAACATTCACTAGCTTTTGTCAAGTTTCTCATGCAAGGAGAGAAAAATTCTGGTGCTTTAAACTGAAGCAATTGTCAGAAGAATGAAAATCAACTTTAAAAAATTTAATGGGTGCACTATAATGTTTTTTTTAGAACAGTGCTTATAAAAGTGATGAAATTCAGGAGTTATTTAAAGTCAATATAGTTCAGAAGTATGGTCTAACTCACATGTAAAAGTTCAATGGGAAAATCATGTAATACATTCATATTTAATTTCTTTTTCTCCATTATGAGCAATCCACACTGGTGTATTTAAAACTAATGTAGTAGAAACTGCAGTACAAGGACAAATGGCATTTGATATCAACCAAATATCCCTTCCTGAATATGGACAATACTCAGATTAAATGGAAATACTCATACTACACTAGACATAATATTCTCCTAAATGTTACTTTTAATTCATCATGTTTTGTATTCAGATGTCAATATTAGCTAGTCTTTGGGAAAACTATGACAAAAAGCTTCCTCTTTTAATTAATCCAAATTATAGAAGCACTCCAATTAAGATGGTGTTCAGTCCTACATCCAATTATCTTTGGGTAATACTCATCTGTCTTTTGCAGTCCTTTCCTACATACTCCAAAACCAAAAAACAAACAAACAAACACAAAACCCCCAAACAAAAAAAAACCAAAAAACTTGCAAGAATCCTGTTGTTGTTATTATTTTTAACCATGAAGTGGGAGCATATCATAACCTCTTCTAATGGTCAGATCTGTGCTTACAGACCAGCTTATATCCACGTAGTTTGCACAGGCTCATAGAAAACCTTGAGTTTCCTAAAATTATAAATATTCTTCTGAAATAAGATAATCCATCCTCTTTCATAGCCATCTGGATGTCATTTATTATCCAGCTGCTAAATTTACAATTATGAAACTATCATGACACTAACTGTGTTGATCAGGAACATGCTATGACATGGGAGGAACATGAACCTCAAAAGGACTGTGAGGAGGACCCAGATACCCATAACAGAAAAGTAAGAAACAATTACTCTGATTTTTGTTAATAAGTTTAAAGACATGAAATGTTAATACAAACAGCCATCCACTTTAATTTTTTCTTAGTTTCCAAACCTGTGGCATTTCTGGGCTGTGAGGCAGGCTCAGTTGTGGCAAAATTAATACACACTTCTGAAACATATTTTGAATCATTAGAGAATTCCCTGATGTGGTCTTTTGGCTTTGGTTGAGGAAGAGCTTTGAAGACCTGTGCCAGTTTATTTTCCCATTTATTAATATTACAATTAGAATGATTACACTTAATGTCCTCCAGGAACATACATCACTCTCCAGAATTTCACTGTGTATAGAAGTGATATGACTTCTACCTGCCCTCTAACTGACAAGTCTTTACTGAGTCATCAGAACGGGTTTTCTGAATGCCCCCTCCTAGCAAGCCAGTTATGAGAGGCAGTGCATCACATCAGTGTTTCTGAATGTCCCCTTTAGTTTGACAAGTCTTCCTTTTCGGCTTTTCTGTGGTGAATCTAAAGCCAAATTTGAAATTACATTATCATTGTTTCAAGTATATGGAATGGGAATCTTGTCATTTACCTCTGAGTCCAAATGGATCAAAGGCATATGGATAGAGTCCCTTTGGAAAAACCTCACTGTGCTGCCAAAGGAATTGAAAGCATCATCCAAAAGCACAGGATTATATCTCTGAATTCCAATCTCTTCTACATAAAAAAGGACACAGTTTGAATATTCTTGAAATAAGCAGCTGACATAGCACTATTACCAGTAGTTTTAAATTGTGCTAATTGTAACGTGGAGTGTCTGTGCTGTCTTGTACATCCATACAGCCTTTCTGCTGCAATGCCATATCTTTTTCTGTCTCAGTTCATTTGAGTCTCCGTCATTATGTTAGCTTTCATTTTTCTTCTGTGTCATTAAAATATATATTAAAAGAGTGTTCTTTTTCTACAAATGAAATTAAAAAAAACAACTAATGGCATTCCATGGAAAGCTTAATGGATTTTCTCCTTTTAAAGAGAAGCCTACACAGTTCAAACTGCATGCTTACTTTACTTGTGTGAAAGCATTACCACCTTTATTTTTAAATTTTAAAATCTGTAACATCTCTGCAGTTCCCATCTTAAATAATTCTCTGTTGCTTCACATTTCGTAGAATTTTTAGTGATATAAAAGAAAGAAATTAGCAAATTACTAAAACTCATGTTTTTAGCAGAAAAAGTGTAAGTAGATTGAAAAGAGTTTGAATACAGTTTTGTAACATGGGTATTCCTTTTGTGGTAACCACTTTTGTAGCACTGTAAGTCATGAAATGATAGTAGAAATATTCCCAGTGAAGAAAGATTTATGCAAATGTCAGCTGTGAACAGAAGGTAAATTTGGACCAAAGTGATATGAGTTCATGTCCATCTCATTTTCCTGTGAAGTAAGGGCTGATTTAAACCTTTGTCATGTAGTAACATCTTCACAGTGTCTCTCCTTATAAGTATTTAAAGTAAGAACAAACAACATGCTTACATTCAACGTGGTCTTTTAGCAAGTGGTTTAGAGAAGTATGAGACCACTTCTGTTTTTATAAATCATCTCCATCATCTGTGCTAAAGCTGCTTCTCCTGCTGCTCTCTTTTGATGCAGCTGGGGACGTGGAGGACAAGAGTGGATCTGTTCCAAATGGCGACACTGTGTCATCCAATAAAATTTCCTCTAGACGTTGTTCTTCTTTTAAAGCTGCACTGAAGGACAAATCCGTGAAGTGTGAAAGTGGATCAGAAAAGGCTGTAGATCCATCACAAACATCAGAATTTTGTCCATGTACCAGAGGCATTTGTTGAGAGTAGTCTACAGAGTTCTCCTCTGGATAAGACTGTTGCTTGATGACCTGTGCAGCTAAATCGACAGCAGTGAGTGAAGACATGACTGGGAGGCCATGTGCACGTGCCTGGATCTCCAGTTCCTAGCATTTCAAATGAAAATGATTAGACAACAGCTTTAAAAGACAGAGTTTCTTCAGAACTATTGCAGAAAGTACAGGAATCATGCATGCAAATTAATTATACCTTTTATCCAGTTGTGTGACTACATTTTAAAATATTAAATGCTTAGTCTATGAAAATTTGCCATTCAAGTGTTTTCATCTCCCCCTCTGTCTTTAAGCAGCTATCCTACAGGAACATAAGAGATAGGACAGCCTCTACACCCACTGCATACTGAATCCAATGAAAAAGGTAGAAAGATGTCCCAACTTGAAAATTTGTTATCCACTGCTATCCAGAGAAACAGAAGAGTCTTTACTTGGTGATGCTTATGATATACAGTTATATAAGTAAATCAACATATGTAAGATGATCGATTTTATGTCTGTCTATCTACCTACCTATCCATTCATCCCATTTTCATACGTGTGCGTCTATATTAGAATCTTGCCTTTCAAGCTATGAAGGGCTGTATTCCATCTCTTCATGTAAAAAGTAGCTATAACATAGCACACTATAACCAAGGAAGTGTAATGTGTGAAATGGCTACAAAGGGAAAATGAAAATACTGAAGGGAATTTTGTGTCCAGTATTGATTTTTGGCTGCAGGGACGTATTTTTTTTCCTTATCTTTTTTGTCTTTCTCTCGCTCTAACACGTACATAATGAAACTGTTCGTACAAATACTTTATTAACTTTCCATGAATTCCTTTATGTAAGGTATAATTATCAAAGAAATTTCCTAGAAACCTAAAAAATACCCCCTCTCCAATATATACAAAAATAAATAGGAAAGCCAATTCATTTTTAATAAATGTCATTTGGGGAAAAATTACGTAGATTAATAAAATTTGATGAGGGATAAGTACTAAGAAAGCTTTGTAGTTCATGGCAACACTTATACAAACCTGAATTCGGAGTAGGAGTCTTCTGTTAGCATGCTCTAATTTCTTTTGCCTATGTTCTAATTCTCTGGCTCTCTGTTGTTCTTTCTGTAGCCACTTGATGTACTCCACTGATGCTTTTAAAATAGTCCCTTTGTTCCAGCGCATATCACTGCAGAATGTAGAGATAACCTTTTCACAATTGTACATGTCAGCAGAATTCATAAGAACTTACAAAATCTTTTACATTAATATGAAATAATGATTTACATGACTATTATTCACTCTTAGATATTATTGCTTCTGAATGGAAATTTTAATAGAATAGTTAAGAAGCCCTTATATAGTAAAATTAATCCCAGAATGAAAATAAGTGTCAAAAGAAAGTAATAAAGTGACTTTTTGTGGGAGAGCTAAATGCAATATCATGATTCTACCATTACAGTTTTTATATTTTTAGTGAAAATTGCTTTTATTATTAACTCTAAGATTAAAATCTATGTGCAGTATTTCTGCATTAATGAACTAGGAAATATACATTACTGAGGACTTAAACCTAAATTTTTAAAGATCATTTTGAATATACTACTCCTTTTACCTGACTTACTAATGAGGTTGCTTTTATGCTTGTAGAGAAAAATATTATCTGTGCTGAATGCCGCTCCTCATTGATGACAGACCAGAAAAATCACACTTCTTTAACCATAATGACTAGGGAATGACACAAATCATGTTCAAAAATCTTGAAACAATATAAAATACGCAGCTACATGCAGACCCTAACTCAAAATAAAAGCCTTGCAAAAAAATTAGATTAAATCTGCCCATCATTCAGGAAATAATGGTTTAACTTCCAGCTTACAAGCAGCCTTACAGCAATAAAACACTTGTTTAAATGCATCTGTTCAAGGATTTTCATGTATGCATTTATCAACTTTTCATGTATTCCTTTAACTCAGGTCTTGGAGGCCTTGGAACAGGAATGAAATTTGTGGAAAATGTTTACTTTCTAAAACAGTTCAATATTTTAAGATACAGAATTCGTCTGCTGCATTAAATACACAGATATAAGGGTTTATCCAAACTATCCACTTCACTGCAAGACTGCTTAGGCTGAGCAGAAGGTTGGCCAAGGTTCTGGCCCTATAACACAACCCTGAGAAGGAAAAGTTATTTTTGCAACTAAGAATCTGACAATGGGAGGGGCAAGTATTTTTTTAATATCTATAATACCATATATTCCAGTCTATCATCACTTTCCCTTATTCATAAAATCATAGAATCATAGAATATGCTGAGTTGGAAGGGATCCATCAGGACCATCGAGTCCAACTCCTGGCCCTGCACAAGACACCTCAAGAATCACACCATGTACCTGAGAGCATTGTCCAAATGCTTCTTGAACTCAGATAGGCTTGGTGCTGTGACCACATCCCTGGGTGCTCAACCAACCTCTGGGTGAAAAACTTTTTCCTGACACCCAACCTAAACGTCTCCTGACTCAGCTTCATGTTGTTTCTTTGGGTCCTGTCACTGGCCAACAGAGTGAAGAGATTGGTACCTGCCCCTCCACTTCCCCTCACAGGGAAGTTGTAGACTACAATGAGGTCTCCATTCAGTCTCCTCTTCTCCAGGCTGAACAAACCAAGTGACTTCAGCCACCCCTCATAAGGCTTCCCCTCCAGTCCCTTCCCCATTCTCATGGCTCTCCTTCAGACATTCTCTAATAGCTTATTGTTTTGGGGCTTTTTCTATTGTCTTTGGTTGTTTCAGTTAATGAGATTTGCCCCTACTCTTGTGTTCACCTATGGTGAATAAAATTATTGCAGATGTTTTGTGTTCAGCTTCTCAGAGTAAGTGCCTAAGGAACCTTGTACCCTTACCCCAAGGCTAAGCACCCTTATAGACTTCTGCCAATGCAGTTGTTTTTCTACTGAATATATAGGGCAAAAGCCAGGCAAGTACAGGATTTAGGGATCCAGGCCACTCAGCCTTTCCTGATGCACTTTACTAGGGATAAAACCTTACAGAGCTGATAGCTTTAAGGCACTCACAAGAATACACAAAATTATTTGTGATAAAGCTTTACAGTGTTTAACCATATCATAAAATTCAGACAATTTGCTAGAGATTTGGGAGAAACATTTTTTGATCCAAGAGCGCTCAAACTCATGTCTGTTCTCTCTGGGAAGCACACAAAGTGTGGGGCTTCAGCATATAGGACCTCCCCTCTCCTCAGTATGTGTGCCAAGAATGCACAGCTTTTTGGGATTAGAAGGTGAGGAGGTCAGAGAGAAAATAATTATTGTCTCAGATCCTGCTGTCTGCAAAGCCAAAACATCAGAAGCTACTCACTGAAGTGGGTGTGTATTCTTATTTAGACATTCCATGGTCAAAAACACTAGAACAGAGAGGGGACTGGGAGCCAAGAACAGAACATGTCTCCCTCATGACAGCTGAGTCATATCTTGGCAGTTCCTCTACCCCTTCCTTCTTCTCCCTGAATTTCTTGCCCAGGTGGGAGGACAGAACATTTCCCTGTCAGCATCCCATGGGCTCCCTCCTAGCAGAGGACTTTCTTCTCGCATGTGGTTTACATTCAAACTGTAAATGTTAAGGAAGTTTTTAGTATGCATAATAATGCATATTTTCTGGACAAATCTTTGACTGCCATCACCAGCTCATGACAACTTTGAAAAGCACTAGAGGAGTAAGAATGCCTCGAGTATATACTATGGAGAAATGCAATCTGCAATCATTCATGTTACACATAATTTGCAACCTTTGTGATATTGCTTACTTTTAGTTCATATTACCTTGATAATTTGAGGGTTTTATTTCTATGGCAATGACATTTTTTGTCACAGGATGAAATAAATTTTCACTGGAAGACCAGTTCCTAGATTCAAACCGCCAGACAGATGGATCTGGTCAGCTTCTGCATGAGATACATATGGATAGATATCTCTTGTGGTAATATTTACAGATCTGAGAAGCAAAATTATCACAGGATGAAATTGCAGTAGTTATTATTATCATTTAAGAGACTGTTATTTAACCGCGGTGTGTGTGTGTGTGTATGTGTCTGTGTGTGTGTCTGTGTGTATGCATGTATCCCATATATCTTCTACATCTCTTCTCATATTGGTTGATGTCTTATTAAATGAAAAGTATTGAAGTTAAATCTTCCAATGTCTGAAGGTAACATGGCAATGGATCAGCTGGTGACCTTAGTAGCCAACGTGAATTTCACGTTCTGTCTCTCTATACCAGGATCTAAAGAAAATATTGAAGTTTTCTGTGCTAATTCTGCATTGCAGGTATTCCTCATCCATTCTAGCCCAGAGCACCACACAGCAGTCACGGGACAGTGCTGTGGAGAAACAGAGGCTCTACGCAGATGTGCAGTGCTGGAAGAGTAGCAACGTAACTGGTGGGGATGAAGGAAAACAGGGCAATAGTACAGGTGAGGTTCCTGTTTAGCAATAGCCTACAATGCATCCAGCAGGTAGGCAAGCAGATTCATCTATGATGGGAAATAAAAACAACCTAGCATTTGAAAAGGGAGTATCTCAAAGCACAAAAAGTGCATAAGAAGAATTCAGGAATTCTGTGATCGGTTATTAGGTTTCTGCTATTTCTCTGAAAACAATGCTTTCTAAATTGGGTGCAAACGAAGAAAGCTATCCGAAAAATTATAAAAGGGGCACTAGGAAATTATGGGGTTTGCCTTTAGAGATTTATATATTGTGCTTATATATAATGGAGACAAAAGTTGAAATGAAAAGGCTTACAAACTCATTTGAGAACCTTTAAAATCTAAACAATCATTGGCAGTTGTTACTCATTTAATTGGAAACCACTTTATAAAAACAGAAAAAATAAAAAAATACTTGCATTCTTAATTCTGATTTGAATCGACAAAGTAAGATATAGATCTACTGAGTCTTGGAGATGGTAGGATTTTTTTTTTCATTTTACTCTTTCACTGTCTATTAATTCCTTTCTTGTTTGGTTTTCTTTTTTTGGGGGGGAGGATTTTTTTTAGGGGGTTGTGTGTGTTGTTTTATTTGTTGTTGGTTTGTTTTGCTTTGCTTTTTTTTTTCTTAGCCTTCATTTTTATTGAATGCATATAATACTTTGTTCTGTAGATATTGAAACACATGGGAAATTCTACATGTGAATAAAGTCATTTGAAAACAGTAAGAACTTTTGCAGGTCTGGTCATCAGCAATGGCCTCTGCAAAGGAAGATTTCATTTTTGTTTCTGTGTGTGCATATGGCACAATAATTTGAAATTTTTAGCAAGCTACATGTGTTCTTGAGTTTAACTAACAGAGGTCTACCACACTTCAGAAGATTTGCATGGAAAAGTTAAAAATAAGTAAAAACCCATGTTTTATTGTCTCTGAACCCTGACTCCTCCTAACTTTAAGATCTGAATCTCTCTAGAAAACTCAAATGCTCAGAACAAAACATGTAACTCTCACCTAGGAGAGTTTCCCATTTTGGAGAAACAAAACATAGACAAGAGATTGATCTTCAACTCATTTCCATTAATTTAACTTTGTTAAGTCAAAGGAGCTCCACTAATTTAAAGAAATTGAACTCCTGTAGGAAGAACCAGAGCATTTGGTCATCTAAGATTAGAACTAATTAACAAAAACAGCATTTGTGAGAGTGTGATAGTCACAGGGTTTGCCAGGCACAGGACAGTTACTAATAACAAAGACATTTGCAAAGCTGAAACCATGTTTGCAGACCATTTCTTTCCCTGTTTCTTGAGAAATTTACGGTAACGTGTGCTTCCTCAAAGAAATACTTTGAAGGACTGTACTTGTTTTGATGACTTGCACAGTTGCAAAGTGTATTCTGAAAGAGGCAGTAAGTTTCCACTTTGTAATAGCAGGAGTACACATAAGCTTTTCCTGTACAACAAATGTGGCTGTGCTGGCTGCTGGAGCAACCAGAGAGCAGAGAGAAGGTCAGGCTCAGGCAGATGCAGAGAGAAGAGAGGAGAGAGTGAGAGCAAACCACTGCTTATGCCCAAATCCTCAGTGGTTTTCCTAACAGCCTAGGTCTGTAAAATGACTAGAATTCTTGAAGAAAGGGGTTTTTTTCTTCTTTGGCTTTCTGATAATTGAAGTCTGTCTACCATAAAACCATTCTTGTGTAGGCACTTTCAGACTCCATCACAGTGTGAAGTCCTGTTAACCACCTAAAAGGTGGATTCCGAAAGGCTGAACACAAATGAAAAAGTGAGTATATTAAAGGAGTATTTTATGAGCTTTCCAACAAAATATGACTATTTCTGGCATTTTAAAAGTCTATTTTTGAATTATTCTGTATAACTGATTTGCATTTCTGAATCATCTAGCACTTGGATATCTAAGCATTGAAGATTAAACAAAAGAGTCAAAGTTCTTTTTAACTCATACTTATGTCCATTTTCTAATGCTGATGAAGTGAACTTAAAATACCCATTCATTTAAGCAATGTAATCCACACTTTTATTGTTAAATTAAAAAAAAAAAAAAAAAAAAAAAAAGTGAAAAGGATAGGGGTTTAAGCCAGTCAAAAGAAAGTCCCTGCAGAAGCTCTACAGGAGCCAAACAAGTTCACTATATAACTAACAAAACAAAAGTGAAATAAAAACCCCACACAGCACTTCTAAGAAATATAAATCATAAAAGGTTTCCAAATGGCATAAAAAAATGTCCTTTTCTGTTCCTGACTCTGAATGTAATCTTCTTGAAGCAAGCCATCTGGGACAGGCATGCTAACCACAATGGCTTAGTTATAGCAATATTTGCTCTTCAATGCAAAGGCTGATTTTTCTCACTGTCATTAGTCTAAGCATCAGTTAGGCTTCTCCTTATACAGCTAAGTTTCCACTATAGAAGAATTTTCTAAAATCAATATAAGAGTGAAAATGCTATATGTGATAAAATGCTACAGATGAAGTATTGTAAGACATGATAAATCTCTTTCTTTCAAAGAAGAGGGGGAGATTGGGGGTACAGTAAGGTGTTATGAAGGGAAAAGCAAGAACTGAAAGAGAGGGTAAGGACATTGAGTTATGATTTGGCAACACAGGACCAAACCCAAAGGAAATAATAGTAATTTTAATCTGCTTAGCCAACAAAACAACAGACTCAAATTATATATTTCCATCTAAAAATACAAATACAAAAAGAGTGTTTTACACTTTGGATTAATTTATCCTGGCACCAAGCTATAGTAAAGTTATGTTGCAAGCTAGTGTTTCAAAAGCCCTGCACTTTTTGATGCCTTTCTTTTCTTAACACCAACTTGAAAACTTTTAAATAGGCTTACTTTCAAAAGGAATACTGATTACTAGCCTTTTGAAGACAGCAGTCTTCAGAATGTGAGATACTTAAGTTTACCTTGTGTTTTTGTAAACATAAACCACTCTGGGTCTGTCACACTGTTGAACTCAGTCATGGGTTTGCAGATTAAAACAAGATAAGGCAATGACTGCAGAATCTATACCTGAGACTTTTTCATCAGGCGGCACCACCAGAATCTGTGGGTAAAGTCCACCATCCACTTGCTGGAGCAAAACTGCAGGCCCAGATAATTCATTTTAAGAACAGCCTAAATGATTGCTCTTGGTATTAATGTTTTGATTGAGTTCACAAACTAAACCTGAATCCAGAACAAGACGTGTAACTGAAACACCTCTGTAGGCAACCAAAAATCGCAACTGGAATTTGTACCTCATGCTCATCTCTAATTGCAGTGTAACTGCCTTCTGTTATTGCTTTATAGCTGCAAACCAACAGTGCCATCCACTGTTTATCTGAGAAATCTTTCAATTATTTGCCCAAATAGTATTGATACTGAAAGATGCATCAGCAAAATTAAAATGCTTCTACCAGTCTGTGCTTGCAATAGAGCCTAAACTTTTTTTAGGTACTTAAAGCCCTTTTTATTTTAACTCAGCTGTAATACCTAATTCTATATTAATAACAAAAACATGCCCATTTATCTAATCTCGGGTGAATGCTATAGAAGGAGCCAGGTTGGTGAATTCTCTAAAATGGATGCAGTATGTTAACTTTCTCTCTGGTGATTTCACTCCAAGTGAAGCCAATCTTGCACTTTTGTAAGTCTCACATAGCTTTATATTGTTCCAGAAATCCCTAATAGAAACAAAAGTTTCTTAGTGCTAAGGAAAAAAAAGGCTGAAATAGATGTTTTCATTTGAAGTATCACGCAGGTCTTTATTGACATGTAAATGATAAAGACAAAATCTGTATAATCAATTTTATGCAAGTCACAATCATGGTAGTGCATGGTCTTAAGTCTTCCCCGAGTGACGTGAGAAATCTAAGGCTAAAGTTCAACTTTAAATATCACACTGAACTGTTATTGCTAATCCTGCGGTGGGCTTTCCTACAAGATAACCTTTTTCATATTGATGACAAATATAAGCTTTAAGGGAATGCAGGTAGTGGTCAAGCAATATGCATTTTGTGTTACTGTAAGTGTATGCATTAGTATAATATGATATTATAATAGCAATTGTATCAATTATTACTTTAATCCTTGCATTTTAGGACAGGTGTTTTCCCTGCACTGAGTGCAGGACTTTTGAAAAATGCTCAGTCTACAGACTCTTGTACTGATTTTTTTTGCCTTAGTCAAAGGGCAGACAGTGACAACGTGAATTTTGAGTTATCCCACTAGAGGGCCATAGCAAGGGCTGAAAGCATCACTCCTTCCTTCTCCAGAGACAACACACAATTGTGCCCAGGGACAGAGAGATGGACTTTCTGCTGTTTGGCTTATCTTTTTTTCCTTTTCTATTTTTGGTTTTGTTTGGTTTTAATTTGTTTGCTTGTTTTCCCTTGATGTGGCAGTCACTCTTAGACACCCTGGAATTTTTTTCATTTTATTATCATTTCAGATGAGTTTTTCCAACAGGTACCAAAAATCTGTTAAAGGCTTGTTACTTTAGCAGCCTGATCTGAGCCAGTGACCTGGCATGGAAGATTTTGTATCCGATTACTCAATCCTATAGCCAGTATATACTACTGTCTCTTTTATTCTTGTATTTAAACTATAAACGTTATTTTAGGAAAGACTGTTGAACTCACGGATCATTCGACTTGGGGATGAGGGTGCCAAGCTCCTTGATTCGGTAGTTAATATTATACCTTCTTCTTCTCTCAACTGTTAAAAAGAAACAGTTACTATATTTATAGTGAAATATTCTTGGTGAAATTCAACATAGAACATTTTAATTAGTTATAAACAAGTCAGTCAGTTGATGCGCAGAAAATTTCTTCCTCAAACAGCAGTCCCAACATGAGCTCCTACCTGTCTCTGACTTATTCTCAGGACAAACTGCGTGATTAGTACCATCTGTATCTTACCTTACCTATCAGTTTTTTCCTCCATTAGCCACTAGACTTCTATAGAATTAAATAGTCGCATATTGTCTAAATGTGAGCTAACACTTCTTTTTCCTAATGTTTCTGTAGCCTTTCTCCACCATGCTTGTACAGAACAGAGATTTCAGTTTGGCAGTTTTGCTGGTGACTTCAACAGGGTCACAAGACAACTCATCTAGCAATTCATAGTGTGGCAGAACTCATGTTACAGATCACAGGTAAGAGCTCCACTATCCCTTATTTACAGCTGCCAGCATTTCAAACCAGAAAGAGGACATAACTGCAACCATATCCCCTCACTGAAACAGAGAAAGATTGTGTTCCAGAAACACTTCATCCCCAGCACATCTCTTTCCTTTGGGTATGGAAGGCACAAGCATGTTTACAATAACTTTAAAAACACACAGAAAATGAATAAAAACACAGTTTAAATAATAAAAATATATTTTATGGATTTAAATTTATGCTTCTTCTAAGACAAGCTATGTAGGGTATCTCAATTTACTTTGTAGTTTAGTTAGAAAGAGAAAAACAGAAGATAAGCCTCTTAAAATTATGTCTGACTCTCTGTGCTCTCAGTTCACTTTACCAGCATTGTACTGGTACCCAGGCTGGAGTATGTGACCTTGAGAAACTTAACATTTTCTAATGTATAGGTCCAAAGGACATCTCAACACTTTGGGGGATTACTTGTATATAATTGTGACATGGAAAGTATATTCAGTGAGAATATAGTCCCGTTGGGGTACTGCTGGCTGTCAAAGACCAGCAGTCTCTACTGACGTGAACTCGCACTTTTGTCCCTTCCCTCCACTTTATACTTTAACTCAATCCAAATCTCACTGAATGAGCAGGATTCAGTTTTGGTCCATCACTACCATCACATTGAGCTGCTCCTTTCATCCTTTTCATCTTGGAAGACCTTACCTTGGGCTCAATATGCTAGTGCCACTGTACTCTGTCAGACCAGCCCTGTCCAGCTTAGAACATGGGCAAAACAGATCAGTGCTCCACATATGGAGATGTTCACTTAAAATTTAATGTCCTAATTTTAAATATAAATACGAAAAGCCCAGTAGAGCTAAAGTATACGTGTTCAACCAAAGGCATCCTAGCTGGTCTTTCAAGGTTGACTTCAGTCTTCTCACGGTCACATGAGCATGTTGCTTTCAGTCTCAGACCCACCACTTAGATCACTTTTAGTCCTTTACTTCTTCCAGTACATAAAAGTGTTTTCTTCCTGTCTCTGTGAGGCTCTTAGATTTGTGCAGCAGTCAGTTGTTTCCTCCCTAGCTGATTACAGCTCCAGGAACTCCCTGAGTGTTGTTATTTATTCTGATGAAGTGTTCTACCTTGGTGGGATGTATTATCTTGTCTTGATCTCTCTAGAAATAGGAATTTCACTCAGCAAATTAAAGCACCTCAGGTTTTGCAGTCATGATTCACACGTGCAGAAGACAAGTAATATAATCCTCCTGAGTGTACTGCTAAGTGAACTCTTGTATCCCATTGGCATGAATGTGCTGGATAGGAGAGCACAGTGTACAAAAGCACATAGCAACTGAGAAAATTAAAATATATATTTCAGTTATGTTGGCAAAATAATGGCAGGGCAAACAGAGTTAAAGAATGTGCCTTAGATATAAAGTCCTATGGCATAATAGCTGTTTGTTTCATTAATATTTACAATGTGGAAAAGCTCTGCAAGATACTCATCAAAAAATGGTCAACTAAACATTGGCTAAAAAACAAGGTAAAAAAAAAATTATCTTTACAAGTGGACACCTACAGAATTCTTTTTATTTCTATTCTTTTTTATGTTTTCCTGAAAAGAAACTTTCAGTGGTTGTGCTAACGAGTTAGGGGGAAATTTTGAAGCTTGGAAACATGTTTCAATAGAGTTTTCCTGATATATGTCTGCTAGAGTTCCAGTGATATCCTGAGTTATCAATAATATTTCAAGTGTCAAAATTATACATAAACCAAACCAGAAAATGATTTTTCAAACTACATGGACAGGATGACAATAAAACATTCTTTACTTGGAAGAAAAAAAAAAAAGGAAATGTTTTCTAATGGTTTAAACTCTTGCTGTTGTGTGACGTGGTTCAATTTCCTAAATCTAAATCCCTTCTCATGGTTTCATTGAGGATATAACCTTTCAACAGGAAATTTTTTGTAGTTCCTTTGTTCGCCTTGGTATGAGAATGTACAAGAACATTTTTGCAAAATGTGGGCTTAAATTCAACCTGAATATTGAATGTTTGTATAGTTCCAATCAAGTTCCACAAACAGATTTTTCAGATCGTGTCTAAGAAACCTGGTCCTTATAAAAGAGTAAATTACACTAATAAAGCCTTTATATGCAACACATTATTATGTCCAAGCCATTAGATAGTACAGCTATCTTCAGAGAGACTTTGAGCTCTGAAGTGTATGACTGGAGCCAAACCAAAACAGACGCTGCCTGTCTGCGATGCTATCATCACAGCGTACTGCCTTCAGCTTAGTCGCCAGTAGTGAGGGAAAGTTCTCAGACATTTCTCCTGAGATTAGGAAGGAAGACCTCAGAGCCAAAATAAACAATGGAGGAAACAGTAGGACCAGCCATCCCTCATGTACGTATGAGCCTGTCTTTCCCCTTGTAGTTCCAGACAACTCCTACCCACCACCTTTCCTAGACCAGCAAAAACTTCCCATTCCTGCCCAAGACAGAGAGCAGCTGCATTAGCATTTCAGAGATTACGTGCTAGCAACAGTTCTAACAATCTACCTGGTCTGTCTGTAGTACACAAAAAAATTACAGACAGACATAAGGATGCCTTCCAGAAATTTTAAGTAGCAGAAAGTTGTCCACAGTGGTTGCTAGTACATTATGCCAGTGGATGTGCACTTTTAGGTATGTAATTTCATGCAAGTAAAGCCTCTAAGATTACTGGAATGGCCAGAGAACTAAGATATAAATAAGAGAATAAAGATATAAATAGCAGCTATTAAGTAATTACTAATTTGGATTTAAATTCATAGAATCATAGAATATCTTGAGTGGGAAGTGATTCAAAAGGATCATCAAATGCAACTCCTATAATATTTCTGCTGGAAAAAGTGGAAAGGAGAACTGGGAAATGTAACTGCTTTATTCAACAGAAATTTCCAAATTTCCAAAAAGAATCCTTCAGGTTTTTTGTTTCAAATTATCCTTTAGAGGGAAAAGTTGCCTAACTTTATAGGCAATCTTCTCTCAATAATAAAACTGATTTTTTTTTTCTATTCTGTATAAACTGGTTTTTATTTTTATAAATATTTAGACTCTAAGCTATGAATTTCACTATGTTCTAAGAAGACTATTCCTCTAAATCAAAATGCCTAACATCTGTACCTGGATGCACTGCTCTCCACAAAGGAAACAGAAGTGTATCCCAGATCACAGAGGTTACAGGGGTTTTGTGTCAGTCAGAACACTGTGAGTCTCACCCAGTCCTGCCCTGATCTTCTTTTGTGACGTACAATTTCCGTAACTTTAAGTGCTTAACAACCGTTCGTAATTATCTGATATACTATGCAATTTTTTTTTCCCTCCACATCATCCATCAAGAGATAGAGCCTCTTTTTTGGACATTTCAGTAAATAATGTATGAAGACTTGATGTTCACTGTTGTTTTTCTCATCATCTCCCTCCTTTCTTGTCTGTTTTGCACTGTAATTCTTAGAGGCAACATCAAGTGTACAGTCATAGGATAAAAACATAATAGCAGGAGATTATATGGAAATAAATAAATTACAATATTCAAAGAATGAAACTAATTTCAGGAAAGAAAGCTCTGTGGTTGGCTGTGTTTGGAGTCTGAGTTCAATTTGATTAGCCTAGTAACATGCTGATCTAGAAGATGAGCAGAGATGGGGTAGCTAGTGTCTAATATTTTTGCATTCGCCATACATTCCAATTAATGAGATGGAAGAGTAACATATACTTACTGAGGTTGTGGTTATCCTTTTTTTGTCTCTCCTTTGCCATTGCTCTTGTATCTGCTTCTGACAGAAAGTAACATTTATTAAAATAGTTCTTAAGATGAAATTTCAGTACTTCTTTCACCTTTCCAAAATGGCCTCTTGTCACAAAGACCAGACTTCCAGTCCTTTTACTTCCAGTCCTTTTACTACATTACTATTATTAAAGCAGATCATAGGCAAACCTATATTCTACCAAAACTAAATTTTGTACAAGCTAGCAGGTTGCTTAAGATCTTTTTATTGCACAATATTTTTTATTTAGGAACATAGAAATATCATGGAGGGGTATTTTTCTCCAATTTGCTGTATTTTACATCAAGATAAACTTACAATACACTAATGTGAATATGGATTTTCTATATCCCATAATGCAAGAGTTAATCAGATTTGTAAGATATTGAACAAACTCACTGTTTCCTCTGAGTGACACTAATAAACTGTTCATGATTTTTAGCATTCTTTGGATTAATTGAATGCAACTTTTAAAGTTCTTAATCCACTAATATAGATTTACCTTGAATAGACTTATTGTAAAGTTTTAAAAGAATCATTTGTTCTACCCTAGAACAAATTAAAAGGATGATAATTTATTTATACTCTGGGTCAGGAGCCAACATGTGGAAGAATATACTACGTTTTCTAAATATTAAGGTTTATTAGAAGTATAATGTTCATAAAAAATAGAACAAAAACCTGGTTTCTGAGCTGCTAAACACAAGAACAGAAAGAAAACATTTCTTCTTGCTCTTTGTTCTTTCTCTTAAACAAAACTACCAAGTGCAAAATTCTCAGGAATTTAATTATGGATATCTTTTTCATGGGTAAGATTTATGCAACTTTTAAGAGACACACTATCACTTTTGCAATTATAAAATACTAAAATCACAGAGTTCCTTTACCTGTGAGTTCCCTTTTTACTGGTAGATTAGCTGGGCAAGAAGCATTTGTGAGACTCATATTAGCTGGTGCCATTCCCTGGTCACTGTTATATATATCCAAAATGCTGCTAGATATCTTGAGGAGTACAGAAGGAAAGAAGAATAAGAAAAATAAGATAATATTAAAATAAGTTAAAGACTTAAAAGATTTTTAAAAAAAATCCAACATAAATTCAAGGAGCAAACATCTTTGGATGTGAGTCTGGTGCTCTATAGAAGGAGATGTGTATATGTGTCTAAAGAGAAAGTTTACCATTCTGTGGTATTAAGTAAAATTGAAAGCAAAGGATCACAGCCTGCCACTGATCCACAAGCAACTTTCTAGGTGTTGTGACTGGGTTTCAGATGCAGAGTGATGGCAAGATATAGGCTCCCATCTCTGCTTTTCAATTGTTTCTATACTATATTCTTTAAAACCATGACTGCACTTCAAACATGAATTAGGTTGAAAGTCAAAATCACCTTGATTTTGACATACTCCTCAGTGATTTTTCACCACATCACTAAACTCTGAATTAGTACTTCATACTGTGCCTGGTTTAGCAGTATAAAGACTCAGGGACCCAGTTATATGCAATAGTTAAAATTAGAGTAGACAGAACATCGAAGAATATGCTTTAAGGAAAGAAACTGTGCTGTTGTCAGGATAGACCAGATAACCAAATGGTTTTAACATGCATAACATATTCGACCACGTATACCAGTATCCTTATTACCTTCAAAATTTTAATATAACATTATTTAATAAACCCATAGAATGCACCCAAAGAGAAGTAAGGCTAAAGTGTGTTTCTACGGATTTCAGATAATTACATAAATATTACCTTTACTTGAATAATTTTACATATATATAATAACTGTAAAATATGTAAAAGTTTAGTAAAGAACAGTTCAGGCTTTGCTCAGTTTCAGTGACCCTATAATTAAGTTTTCAGCATTGATCATTATCTTATGTATCTTATTATTTCTGTAAGTTCTTGTGAAAACAACTATATGAAAACGTCCAAGTCCAGATTCACAAAAAATTGATTTGTATTCTTCTTGACTTCTATGACAGTAAGAGCAATTTTTTTTTATTTTATTTTATCATGCATATAAAATTTGTGATGACATATTTGTTTTCTTTGTGGCCAACACACGTGGACTCAGAAACTGAATTTGGGTTCAGCTGGCCAAGACAACAGGAAAAAAAAAAAAGGATTAAAAAGTGGGTGAAAAAAGTGGGTGAAAAAATGTGGTAAAACTACTGACTTTCGATAGAAAAGCGTGAAAGGAAATTATGAGCTAGTAAAGGAAATAGTTTTTCATAGACAAGCAAACATGTTGTTAAAGATATGCCCTACAGCCATGGATCCTGAAACACACCGGAATTTTCCAGGCAGGACACCAACCATAATTATATTGGTAAATAGCTTATTTTATACTGATAATTTATTTTTTTGTAGAGACTGTGAGCTTCACCACAAGTTATTTTGAATGGAGACAATTTCCCAGTTACTTAGTGTGAAATTGTTCTACAGCAGTTCTTCCTGTATTTTTATATTAAATCTGAAATTTTAAATGTTTTAATTTTAAATAATGATTTTATTAAATTAACTAATAACTTTACTAGACCATCTGAGATCCTAGTTTAAATTCCTCCAGTTCTATTTCATGCAATTAAATGAAGCAATCAGAATTCTTATTGAATGTACATAAATAGCATGCTATTTTTAAGTAGATGTTTATTACTTAAGAAAACTGATAATTCTCGAATACCATTAAAAATCACAACACTAAGTCAGTTTTAAAAATCTGCTTACATATTTGACCTCTCAACAAAAATATTTTTTAAAAGAATGTTTGGAATTCAGATGAGTATTACTCAAGAACAAGCAATGTGTAATAGGTAGGATTTGAATGCTAAGAGTATTCACACATTAAGCACCTTTGTTTCATTCCAGAGGGGTAAACTGACAAGTATTACAGAATTCACTGCAGCTTTACCTTTGCATTTCCTTTGTTCCAGTGATAGGATATCTATATTACAAGAGTGAACTCATATTAGCTCTAGACACATATTTAGTTACTTCCTACAGTCATGTAAATGAATTGGGCTTATTGAAATTATATGAAAACAGAATGACATAAAAAATTGAGAGTCAATGAGACTACTACACTCATTCCAGTGGACTTCCAATAGGGTTGTTATATGATTTAGGCTACTGTTTTTGTGAAATGCTAGGAAATAGTAACCCCTGAAAATAATATAACCTAATAAATAATCTAACAAATAAGAAATGCATATCTATCGTATTTTGCAGATTTCATTTCTAATTTTCAAACTATAATTCACATTTATCCTTGAAAGATAGTTAAATCTCAACAGTCTGTTCACAAAGGTGTGAATTTAAATGACAATGTCCAAATCCAAGATGAAAGGTCATGAAAGGCCTACTTAACTGTTAGTGAAAAAAAAAAACCCAACACACCTGAAAGTTCACAATTATGTGAGCATTCAAAAGAACATGAGTAAATTCAACTCAAAACCACAGGTAGACATTTCAGATGAACTTGATTACACAGTTGATGAAATTGCATGTAACTGCTGCCGTTGTCTGAAGTGATAACAGTTCATATACCCTCTTCCATCAGCAAAACCACTGGGGCAGGGGCTGCAATCAGGTATCTGTCCATGGTCTATATCTGACTACACTAGTGCTTTCATTAAGCAGCAAAAGGCATGAAATATCATAGAATCATAGAATATCCTGATTTGGAACGGACACACATGGATCATCAAAGTCCAGCTCCTGGCCCTGCACAAGACAACCCCAAGAATCACACCACGTGCCTGAAAGTATTGTCCAAATGCTTCTTGAACTCTGTCGGGCTTGGTGCTGTGACAACTTCCCTAGGGAATCTGTTCCAGTGCTCAACCACCCACCACCCTCTGGATGAGGAACCATTTCCTGATATCTAACCTAAACCTTCCCTGACACAGTTTCATGCCATTCCCTCCCTGGTCCTGTTACTGGTCACCAGAGACAAGGGATGAGTGCCTGCCCCTTCACTTCCGCTCATGAGGAAGTTGTAGACTGCAATGAGGTCTCCCCTCAGTCTCTTCTTCAGGCTGAACAAACCAAGTGACCTCAGCTGCTCCCCATATGGCTTCCCCCCAAGGTCCTTCACCATCTCTTGGGCCCTCTTTTGGACACATCTTCCCAAAACCGCACACAGTATTCAAGGTGAGGCCACACCAGTGCAGAGCGAGGAGGGCAATTACCTCCTTTGACCAGCTGGTGATGCTGTTTCTGATGCATCCCAGGACATGACTGGCTCTCCTGGCTGTCAGGACACTGCTGACTCATGTGCAATTTGCCATCAGCCAGGATCCCCAGGATCATTTCTGCAGTGCTGTTCTCCAGCCTCTCATTCCCCACTCTGTACGTGCATCCCAGGGTTGCTCTGTCTCTGGTGTGGAATCCAGCACTTGTCTTTGTCAAATTTCATGCAGTCGGTGATTGTCCAGCCTTCTAATACGTCTAGGTCTCTTTGCAGAGCCTCTCTGCCAAATGTCCCATATCACCTTTGTTTTCTGCAGTGTTTCAGCACTTTTCCCCTCATAATTTCAGAATTTTTGTCAGCCATCAGGAAAACAGAATCATCATTCCATGTGAAGATGATGAAAATGAAGCCCAAACCCAAGTCATTCAGCTACTGATGACTAGAGTTCTATCATCTCACTAATTAGAATGATTCACATAGGCATTACTCCAAAAGGAATGGGCAAGAAAGGAGAGACATGGGGCAGTCCTGTATTTTGATTGTCTAGAACTGAATAATGGTGATGATAGGCTTGAGTGTCTATGGGTAAGAATCAGGAGGAAGGCCAACAAGCCAGCTATCCTAGTGGGACTGTTATAGACCACCCAACTAGGCTGAAGAGGCAACTGAAATATTCTATAAATAGCTGAGTGAAGTCTTATGATTGCTGGCCCTTGTTCTCATGGGGAACTACAGCTTACCAAATGTCAACTGGAAATAAAACAGCCAAGAGGAAACAGTCCAGGACATTCCTGGAGCGTGTGAAAGGTAACTTCCTGACACAGCTGGTGAGTGAGGCAACTAGGGAAGGTACCCAATGGACCTGTTTGTGAACAGAGAAGGACTGGTGGATGATGTGACAGCTGGAGGTTGTCTTGGGCACAGTGATCATGAGATGGTAGAGTTTTTGATTCTTGGTGAAGTGAGGAGAGGGGTGAGCAGAATTGGACTCGGACTTCCAGAGGGCACACTTCAGCCTGTTTAGGAAGCTGGTTGAGAGAGTTCCTTTGAGGTGGTCCTGAGGGGAAAGGAGTCCAGGAAGATTGGACCAAGAAGGAAATGTTAAAGGTGAAGGAGTAGAGCATCTTCATGTGCAAAAAGATGAGCCAGTGAGGAAGACTGGCCAGGCTGAACAGAGAGCTTTGGCTGAAACTCAGTGTATCCTTTGGAAGAAGGGGCAGGCAACTCAGGAGGACAGCAAGGATGTTGTGAGGTTATGCAGGGAGAAAATTAGAAGGCCCATAACTCAACTAGAAATTAATTGTAAAAGATAATTAAAAGTGTTTCTATAAATATATCAGCAACAAAAGGAGGGTTAAGGAGAATTTCCATGGTTTATTGGATGTGGGAGGAAACACAGTGACAAAGGATGAGGAAAAGACTGAGGTGCTTAATGCCTTTTTTGCCTCAGCTGGAAGACAGAGAGCAAAACGAAGACCTCATAATCCAAGGAAAATGGTTATACCACTTAGACATACACAGATTTATGAGGCCGGATGGGATGCACCCAAAGGCACTGAAAGAGCTGGCAGAAGAGCTCACTGAGCTGCTTTCAATCATTTATCAGCAGTCCTGACTAACTGAGGAGGTGCCAGTTGACTGTAGGCTAGCAAATGTGACACGCATCTACCAGAAGGGCCAGAAGGAGGATGGAGGAACTACAGGCCTATCATCCTGACCTAAGTGACAGGAAATGCTATAGAAAGTTAGTGCCAGTTGCACTATCAACTGCCTCTTTCTTTTGCGAATTTAGTAGAAATCAAGTATATT